CACACACACACAAACACACACACACACACACAGACGCGCCAAAAACAATACCTCCATTTTTCATGGAGGTAATAAAAGCTCGTCTAATATGAAACAAGGTTGAACTGCAAGCAGGGTCGGTAATACTCCCCACGGGCTCAACTCCCCCGCAGCGGTAATTTAGATAGGCGGGCGAAGGGCTTCTGGCTGCCGAAGGAAAACGGCTAGCGGCCCGAAACGAGTCTGGCACCCAGGGTACTACAACTACTACTACATGTATTACTACTACTACTACTACTTCTACTACTACTACTACTACTACTACTACTACTACTACTACTACTACTACTTCTACTACTACTACTACTACTACTACTACCACTACTACTACTACTACTACTACTATAATTACTACTACTACTACTACTACTACTACTACTACTACTACTACTACTACTACTACAGTAACTACTACTACCACTACTACTACTACTACTTCATACTGTCGCCAAACGACCTCCTTGGAGATTTCATTCTAATCAGGCTTGACTGATACATCTAGAAAGGCAACATTTGCAAAGCAAATGCATAAGGTTTACCTTCTCATATGCGTCTTCTCTGTTAATTCTTACTCAAACACATTCATATATATATGGTCTTGACAGGAGCCTAAATCCCTTCTGCTATTAAATTGATGTAGCCCAACAGTACTTGCCATGGTGACAGACGTCTGGTTCAGGTCATTGACCTTATTGGTTTGAAGAAGAAGAAGAGGCTGGAAACAGAGCAAAAACAATATGTTTCCCTTCGGCAAACATAATTACAATGTTTCCGTCAAACACTGGGAATGTCATCTTTACCAACGAACACTTTACCAACCAACACTGACCTATATAAGATACATGTCCCTACTTGATATACCTGATAGCATGCCCAGTCTGAAATATGAGTGTGTGTAGTCTTTTCTAGGCCATGTGCCGTCTACATGATCTACAAATCGTTAGTTTGTACAAAAAAAGGCCTCCTGTGCACGCCTCCGAGTGTGTGGGTGTTTTAATGCTGGCTTTTGTAGAATTGTGAATGGTTTCTTTTCCCGATCACCCTACAACCAACAGGGAATCGTGGGTTTGTCCTTTGATTCTCGGTTGATTGTAGGACGGTCGGCAAAAGAACGATTCTATAAAACCTAGTGTTAAAACACCCACACGTTCGCTGGCCTTTGTAGAATTGTGAACGGTTTCTTTTCCCTACCACCCTACAACCAACAGGGAATCGTGGGTTTGTCCTTTGATTCTCGGTTGATTGTAGGACGGTCGGCAAAAGAACGATTCTATAAAACCTAGTGTTAAAACACCCACACGCTCGGAGGCGTACACAGAAGGCTATACAATACATTTGAAACCAGACCGCACACACATTGATCAATTCCCTAGACGATACAGCCTTTCACAAATTAATGGCCTGAACAACGTACCCTATTCTGTAATTTCATTACTTAGATCTGTTCTATCTTACCTCCACATAACGCTAAATACATAACAGCTTTAACGGATAATGGCACACATGGGACTTGATGTATGTCTTTGGTTAAGATGATTACATTTTGTTTGATGTCCCAAATAATTTTGTTCCCGTTTTTACTCCGTCATGGAGGTCGATGACTTCCGCGGAGTATTGAAATAAGACGTGTAAGTACACATGTATGTTCGGAGCTGTAACTCACGATCTCTTTGCTGCATGGGTATGTAGATTAGCATGTTGTCTGCTCGTATGCAAGAGATGATGCTCCATATCCCTACCACACCTGCTCACATACACACACACACACACAGTACACACACACGCACACACACACACACACACACACACACGCGCGCGCGCACACACATGCACACACACACACACACGCACACAGACACACACAGTACACATACACACACACACACACACAGTTCACAAACACACACGCGCGCGCGCGCA